TTTGAACGTACGTGACATATTTTAATCATTCAAATATTGGACTCGGAAGATGGCCGAAAGTGGCAACGGATGCGTTCTGTATATGATCTGTATTTTTGTCTGCTTGTGAGAATTTTAGATAACAAAAGTAAGTTGTTTCTTAGTTAAAAAGCATCGTAATGTTTTGAGTTTTACCTGAGGATATTGATTCTGGTTAGCTTCTAACTGGACACAAAAGGTGATCATTTTTTTAAAATTTCTTTCAGTTGAAGGTTAGAGTGCATGATCAGAAATTATAGTTGCACGCAATGATGGAGAAAGAGGTCCCAATACTACCTGGGGAGTAAAAGTCGAAGCATGATGAAGTATCACATGTTGGCCAAACAAACGATGTTTCGGCGACATCTAACAAAATTATTTCTGTGTATAACAATGTGGATTGGTCCAAAATTGAAAAAAAAAACTAAAATTATGTATAGATGAGGGTGTGAGAATCAGTCATGATGAATGGATTGTGGAAGATATGAATGCCAGAATAGGTTGTAATCAAGGCTTTGTCGATGAATGTAATACTTTCATGAGTCCGAATATAAGAAAATCGCAAGATAAGGGTTTTAATGCAAATGGAAAAAATGGGTCTGGACACATTTTTTGCCCACACCACGACTTTTCTATTAAAGCCCTCTCAATTTAATAATTCAAATATGAGTGCGTTTATGAATCATTTACAGCCAATATCTGAAACATGGACTTATATTCAAATTATATATAACGGAAATGGGAATGTAAATATATATAATGGCATGAATAAAAATTATTTAAAAACAGATCAAATCGAATTTTAGAATGCTTCATATAAATTTAATAATAATTATTCTTTTCATACCGTTCAACAGTAAACTAACGGTACAGATTGTGGAGCATTTGCAATAAATTTGGCTACATTGATGTGTTACAATGAATCACCGGAGAAGCAAAAACCATATGAAGTATCAATCATGAGAAATCATATTGCCAGTATGCTAGTACGTAAAAAAATATTAGCGTTTCCAGATTATGAGTATTAGAATCGATTGAACTTCATATTTCCTTCTGCATGCAATTCGACCGTTCGAAGCAATTTATACGATCCGTAATGGAGCACGTTTAATTCTCATTATTAGACTCAATTTCTTTTTGTTTTTAATTAACTAGCAGATTCCCGCGACTTCGTCCGCATAATGTGCCCAATAACGTTGCACAGTAAAAAACTCATCGAAGAATTTTTTAAATAATAAGTTCGTATTATAATAAGCTAATTTTAGATACCTGTTGAGAAAATCTCACCTTTTGAATTAACCTAACCGTTTAAGGATAGGGATGATTGTGCCGGAACAGAGCAAACGGAAGTCAGGTTTTATAAAAAATATATAATCTTTATTTTGAGCACTAACAGGTACACAATATACACTGAATGTCCGTTTGTCACTGAATACAAGAAATGAATGTCTTTAAAAATCACTAAATGTCAATTGTAATTACTGAATGTGAATTGAATGTCTAAAAAATACTCAACTTGGTGTGGTCAGTATTATTGACCTCCCACACGAGCTCAGCACGCTTCTCAAGTTGAGCAAGAATATGATTGTGCACGTGGCGTTACCCTATCAATGCAATGCAAAATGAATTTAATGTAATTTCGTGAATTTTCTATGAAATGTCTTGAAATGTTAGTTGATTTTGATTGTAGAATGAAAGTTGAATATTTCTGGTGGTTCAGAATAGCACTAGCACTAATGATTGACTCAAAACTTCAAGATTGTCTGAAAAGAATGTGAATGGCGTGTATACGTGAATGAGAACAGAAAAAGAATGGCGACAGGAACTTCATTAGTCAAAAGGGGCACTGAAAATTAGTCAAATGATTGACTAAATTAAGAATTATTAATTATTTGGTCGATTGGTTATCGACCCAGTCCCAAGATGGCCGCCGAAATTCCTGTCAGCTGGCAAATTCAAACTGAGAATTGATTAATACGGTGTAATAGTATTGACAGGAAAGTAATATAATTCGCAAATATTAAACATCAACGAAAATGATTCTAATTTCATGGGATGATTGTATGTCTGCTTTTTTTACAAAGTTTATACAGCATAAATTCATTTTTTTATTGTTTATAATATATTCAATTTATAAAAACAAAAAAAGTAGGTTTCCATATATTTTATATGGTTCGTAACTTTTTTTTAATAAAAGAAAAAATCACGTGTTGGAAAAACACAAACATCCTACATAGATCCCTTTTCTTATTACCTATAACAAATTCAATTGTAATAAACAATATGCTATCATGAGATCCCACATTTAGTGTTCAACGCTAATATTTTGTTTATATAGGTCTAACTTTTGAAAGTCGTGATTATTTGAAAAGTTAAAGTGGTAACGTGCCAGCCTGGCGCACTATGGGTAGCGGGTTCGATTCCCGGCCGAGACAAGAGCCACTGATAATATAGTCTTTTCTCTGACCACGATGAGCGGGAGGCCTCTCAGAAGGGCAGTCAAAAGCGTAAGCTATCGTGCTGATGACTGAATAGCACAAAAATGCTATTGCCGCCACGATGCCGTTGGGGAACCAGGCGACACCCCATTGTAGTACAGCCTTGCTGATGCTGAGTCTGAAACCAGAACCCTTGAGGTAACCGGTAGAATCTTCGAGTGTAGGACGATTTCTTGTGGAACTGGGACGACGTCTTAGGTTGACACCAGGCCTATAGATCTCCCGTACCTAAGGCTGAAGAAACCGGGGGACCCATGGGGCTTAGCGGAATCTCCAAAAGCAGAAATTAACGTTCTTTCGTACCATCATATACACATATATATTGGAAATCGACAGGGACTGTTACGGGGCTCAGAAGGGAACCAAGGCAACTTGGGAACCTAGGGAACCTGCAGGCCTAAGACATGAGATGACCGCCTTTACTGTGCAAACAGACCCCGTACAATGGCCCCGTGGCTAAGTATAGGGGAAGGCGGGACATTCTAGGGCACCTCCAAAAAAATAACAAATAACAAAATAACAAAAAAATACTAACTTTATTCCAAACTCAATATCTCATAACTCACAAACTGAGTCAAAATCCGCAGAATATTTTTGGAATTCTGAAACTTAAAACTAAACCTCAAACTCATATCTAACTTAAGGAAGTTGGTTCGCTACATAAGCAGCAAAAAGTATGTTGTAGAAAATAATGAAAGCATTAAATAGTAATGTTCTTGGGCTGAAATAAATATTATGTAAAGCCCACATTTACAATAAATATATGACAAGAATATATTAAATAATTTTTCGTTGCTTTATTTGGTGTTTATTTTATTTTTAATAAAAATTTGGAACGAATACTTTTGTAAGTGTACAGTTCAGTTACTGTCGCATACATGTAGATATTTCTTATACTGTTTAGCGCACGCACACACAGCGAACTAACGTGGCGGTAGTGGCAACGTTGCACTTCAGTAACGTTTTTGTGTACATCGAGAATATTTAGGTTGAAAGTATTTTTATCAAAGTAATAATGTCTCAGCAATTACGTTTAAAGGGAAAATTTATAAAAAAACGAGTGCTTGATAAAAAAACTCCAATTTTTTGCGGAAATGAACAGTGCAAAAAAGCATAAAATTGAATCTAAAGAAGATTTAGACGAAGAAAATGGTAGTTGTGGTTATGTTTGTACGGGACGACGCATTGTTGAGCTTCTAATTCTTGGCAAAAATTTGAAATGCAGTATGTGCAAAAAAGTTCTTTCCTTGGAGAACATAATTGCAGAGAGGAGATTTGGACTCAATTCTGTTTTATCAATAATTTATGATAAATGCCCAATAATTACTCTAGTTCCTACTGGAAAGCTCCATACTACAAATCAGTTGAAGAATCATGCTGATGTGAATACAAAAGCCGTTTTGGGTAAGTTATTATTTAGTACTAAAAATTGTTTTATGAATTTATTAATATACGCTTTCATAAATCTAACATCACTTATTCCTTTGACAGGTTCTGTACATGCCGGAGTAGGATGCACAGCATTGAATAAGATGTTAGCTTGTTTGAACGTTCCAATAATATCTTCAAATTTATTTAAAAGATATAAACGAGAGATCGGTCCAGCAATCGAGGAACGCGCTAAGGAGAGCTGCAAACTAGCAGCTAAAGAAGAACGAGAATTAGTGATTGCTAATATTGAAAAATTATGTCGTGAACTGTAAGACTTCACTTTTTTAGAAAGTATTTCAACTAAGTATCCATTTTAAAATACAATGAGAATCATGTATATTCACTTCAATCAATTTTATATTATAACAAAAGATTTTTATGGATAATATGTGAATAGTATAAATATGTCCTCCATTTGAATAATCACAATTGCTTGGTAGGGGAAAGATTTAAATTCATTGGAATTTTCCACTTTATATTTTAACAGTAAATATTTATATAAATAATTAATGATATGAGTATTCTGCATATAAAACTGCATAAAAAGATTAATTGTACTGATTGGAAATGAATTCTTTACAACTCATTTAAACTGTAATATATTTCGAATTTTTAATTGATTTTTTAAAATGATTTTCATTATATTTGATTGTATTTAATCACGTTTTTTACCAATTTCTACGATATTGTAGAAATTGAATAAATATTCAATTATGTTGGCAATGTTTTAAAATAAGTTTTATATCTTTTCTGCAAATTAAAACATCATGAGAATTTATAATAAATTTTTTTTCTTGAAAAGTATGTGTTTTTAGATAATTCAATGAACCTTTCTTTTCAAAGTAAACCTCTTCTGAGTTTTTTATTTCTTCTTCTGTTCTCTTTAGCCCACAGGAAATAGCAAATAAAATATACCCTCAGAAGAAAATCCTTAATTCACCGGAAGTCGGAAATCTTGATGAATCGTCGCTGAACTCTACTGGAATTGACAATGGTACAAAGATCTTTGATGCGGCCCTCGGTAACATAATTAACATCATCGTATAATACGATATGGGCTGGAGCAAACGGGGCAATGGGCGCAGTTATAACAGTCTCAACGGCTATGCGACCATCATTGGATTTCTAACCGGTAAAGTGTTAGACTTTACCACGCGAAATAGAAAATGTCGGCTATGTGATCGCGGTCATGATAAGAGTGATCATGATTGTCGAAAAAATTTCGAAGGTAGCGCAAAAGCTATGGAGCTTGACGCTGGTGCATCACTAGTCAACGAGAGTGATATTCTTAACAATAATGATATTCAAATAAGAGTACTGATAGGCGATGAAGATAGTTCCACCATAGCAAATGTTCGCCGAGGAACTGGAAAAGAAATTTTTAAGTTTGCTGATACTAATCACTTAAAAAAACATTTTGTCGGGGACTTATACAACATACAGAAGAATTATAAAGAGATGAAGAAGAAAGGTACGATTGCTCATTTGAAGAAATGCTTCAATTATGCGATCCAACAAAATAAAGGAAAGCCTGAACAACTGGCGTTTAATTTGCGTAGTATTCTACACCATGTTTTCGGGCAACATGAGAATTGTGGTACATGGTGTACTCGTAAATCTTTGAATCATAATAAATCTCAAACTATCTTGTTAAAAGATAGTGAACTTTATAATCAGTTGTTGAAAATTTTTAATAAATATGCAGACAATGCAGCCAAATTTGCAGTCGGCGCTTCGAGCCAAGCAAACGAAAGTATAAATAATACAATGGCTCATAGAGCCCCTAAAAATATGTGCTATAGTCTTAGCGAATCAGCCGACTACCGTTTTGCTAGTACAGTGTGCAGTAAAAATGAGGGTGAAAAACATTTATTACATGTAACAGATATATTCAATATATCTCCCGGAAAGTATACGGCAGCGTTTGCGATAAAAAAAGATAAAGAAAGAGAAAGAAGAGCTATAAAAGCAAAATTGCCATCATTCAAAAGTCGCAAAAATTTTCTCTTTACAAATAAAGAAAACCTACGGAAAAAAAATGAAAAAAAAGAAGGCATACAGTACAAGTCAAATTGTGAAATGGAAATTGATAGACCGGAGTTAGATATTTCACGTGATTTAAAGGAACTTGAAGACGCTCAGCATACTTTCATATCTAGGAAAGATTTGACTATTGTATATTTTGATATTGAAACCTCAGGGTTTGAAAAAAATGCGGATATCCTTCAAATAGCAGCCAAATTTAATAACGATAAGTTCAATGTTTATATAAAACCCACCAAAGACATTCATCCTTGTGCAACTCAAGTTACTGGTTTGCGTCAAATAAACGGTATATTGTATTTAAAAAATTGTAAACTAGATTGTGTAACTTTCAACGAAGCGCTTAATATGTTTAATAATTTTTTAAAGAAATCATTAAAACCTTGTATACTTGTAGCTCATAATGTTAAATTTGATGCAGGCCATTTGGTGAGAGCAATTATAAAACATTCTGTGATTCTTGCATTTCAAAATATTGTCGGATTCGTTGATACATTAGCAATATTTAAAAAAATGTTTTCTAAAAGAAAAGATTTAGAGGGTTTTAAGCTAAGTAAATTAGCTAATGACATGTTAGTCGATGACATATCGCAAAAAACCAAAAATTTTCACGAGGCCATGTATGATGTAGAGGTGCTCGAAAAGCTTGCATTAAAATTTATTCCTCAAGAAAATTTGCTGAAACCAAAAAAATTATTTATTGAATATTTGCGACAGGAACATAATTATTATAAGGCAGCGTTAATATTACCATCTCTGAAGATTTTAAAGAAAACAATATCTAAAAATATGATTAAGAAAATTGCGGATGCCGGAATAAACTTTACAATGTTACTGGATGCAAATAAAGAAGAAAAATTAGTTGAATTACTATCAGAAAAAATGATGATATCAAACCAAGAGTAACAAAAAATAAAAAAATTTTGCATAACATTTTTGTTTTTATCAATAAATATATTGCGCTACAGCAATAAATGTGATGTATATTTTAATACTATTTTTATTTTCATAAATTTTATTATAAGTTAAAAATGTTATATTAAACTATCAGTATTTCATATTTTTACGTTTAATTTTATAATCTTACTGCTGACAAACTATTTGCATACCATAACAAACTATTTCTCTTGTGTTATTATTTGTTATTCATTTTAGTATAATTTGTTGTTTGAAATGTTCATAAGATATTTATAATATTTGTTTTAAAATTTCTTTAAGATAATAAAGTATTGAGTTGAAAAAAAGCTGTATTTTTGTGATAATAATAATCATTATAATATTTAAAAAAAGAAAGTTTTTTAAGTATAAACTGCACTTTTATTTACAACTACTAGTTTCAGACTATTTCATCTTTTGAACGTTGGCGCGTCTTTCAACTCCGTCCTCCATTATATCATAAGTAGGCCCTCCACTCTCGCTTAATATTCCTCTCCTTAAAATGGATAGCGGACTCTCTGAATAGTTCCGCTATTCTTTTACATGTTTTTATGAATAATATGCATGATTTATATATTTTTTTATATGCTTACTGTTTTTGATAGGAAATTTCTCAGTAAAAAATCAAAATAATTAACTATTGATATTTTTAGATTCATGTGAAGTATTTTTTAAATGTTATCTTAATAAATTCATTATTTTAATAAATGCATACAAAAGAACACGTAAACACGAATTCAAACATTTATTTTACTGATAAAATTGAGGTGTTTATTTGTAGGGATAAAATAAGAGCACATTGAGTTGTATCGTAGCACATAAGAACATAAGACGAGCGCATGTTTTGAAAAATTTCTCCGAAAAAAAAGCCGGTGGTAAATTTTTATTAGCTATACTACATTTGCTATCTGAGACAGATTTTATTACTTCACAATTGGACGTGAAGTGATCGTTCTGATGCACAGATCGCAGATTTAGTGTTATATTTTTTTTTTTTATTTAATTAATATTTGTAGTGAAATTCTATTGTATTATATTCGTTTCCTTATTTTTAAAATATAAGTAAAATGTGAAAAGATGTCTGAAAAACGTAAAATGAAAAACAGTGCAACAGAAACATCGATTCCGATGGATAACAAGGATCAAAAGAGTGAAAATGAATGTTCCAAAACTAAAAGATGCCGGTTTACTTATCAAGAAAAAGCAGAAATATTGAAAGATTTACAGAATCAATCCGTTCAATCAGTATTAAAAAAACAAGGAATTAATGAACGGACACTAAGAAGATGAAAAAAAAAAAGATGCAATTGTCTGTACATCAAAAAATACACATCAAGGAACCTCCAAGAAAATCAGTCAAAATTCGGACCTTGATAAAGCAATTTATGTTTGGTTGCTTGACGCTCAAGCGAAAGGTGTTCCAGTGACAGGTCCAATTTTGCCACAAAAAGCTTTATGTTCAGATGAAGCTTTAGGTAGATTGAAAGATTTCAGAGCTAGCGAAGGGTGGCTTGATAAATAGAAGAAGAGGAAAGATGTTCGTACTTTAACAATTACAGGAAAAACAAGAAAATGTTGGTAACGAAACAATTATCAAGGTCTCAAATTTTTTATTTTGATGAAACAAGTTTACAGCCTGCTGCAACGCAGACGGGTCTGTGAAGTTACCTTTGCTTTTCGTTAGAAAATTAAAAAATCCACGATGTCTAACGGAACATAATAAAAAACAGCTACCAGTATGTTATCGCAATAAAAAAAATGCATGGGTCGATAAGACAATTTTTGGAGAATGGTTTGCTGAACAATTTGTTCCTAATGTTGAAAATCTCTTAAAATCGAAGAAGCTTTCGCAAACAGCAGTGTTGTTAACCCATTAACGCCGAAGAATCGTGTTTTTTTTTCTCATTTTCAAGCTAGATTCTTATCATCGAAAAAAAATCATTTGCAAATAAAAAACATGTTCCCTTGTACTTTCGAGTGTCCTTTTTCCGAATCCGGAGTCAAAATTAAGTTTTGTCCATTAGAAAAAAAAATATGGCCGTTTTTAAACAAAAAAAACCGAAAAAATCGAAGACATTTTTTTTTCAATATTTTTTTTCTCATTGAAGACGCTCAAGGAGCCCCCCTTTTTCTTCAACCATGAGTGCACAAAATAGTTGTAGTTTAAGAATATATTTTTTTAATTTGTCGACATTGACATTTTCACCCCCAAAATGGCGCTTTTCATCCCTTCAGCAGGAAGACAATTTTCACTCTCGGTGCCCGACAAAAAAAATATTCAAATCTTAACGAAAATTGGAATCCCGGGGTTTTCAAGGTCGCTGATTACGATTCCGCCCTCGAAATTCAAAAATTCAAAATGGCGGACCCAAATTCAAAAACTTATTTGAATCGGATGAAATGTGGCACTCGGGGGTTTTCGAGGTCGCTAATTACAAATCTGTCCTCAAAATTCGAAAATTCAAAATGGCAGATCCAATATGGCGGACCCATATTCAAAAACTTACTTGAATCGGATGAAATGTGGCACTCGGGGGTTTTCGAGGTCCTTGATAACGAATCTGGCATCATCATTTCAAAATTCAAAATGGCGGATGCAATATGGCGGACACCTTCCCATTAACGCCCAGTTATTATCTAACGTTTATTGAAGAATTGACAACTTTATATATTGACAAATTGACAAATTTATAGAAATTCATCACTCCGCATTACTCAACGGATAAACTTATAATTCCTTTTTCTACTCTTAGCATTACCCAGAGAAAACGACATGGACGTGGTAGAAATCCTTTCTCCTTTGGGGTGCTTGATTTGAGTGAGTCCCCTTGCCTCTCACTTTTTGGGGTGCTTGGTTGTAAATTCGCCCTTTGCTTATCCCCGAAGCCTGATTACGTGTTTCGCTTTCATACAAGCACTACAGAAATAAGCATTACAGTCCTTACAGTACGTATATGTTCTTATTGGACAGATTGAACAACGAGCTTGTTTGCTGTGACGGAAAGTATCGTGTGCTTTGTTCCGTTTTAGTTTTCCCCTCTCTAAGTAATATTTAGCAATCGAAATTGCGAATTGCTTTGAACCAATTTTTTTTGTTTTATCTCCAGTTGCGTTGAAAATCACGACTGAGTTCACAATGGCGGCCTGAATAAATCTAATAAAGACGACCCATGTCCATTTTTTTGAACGGATACTTGGAAGCAAGTTGTTGCAATGTCCATCGTGCACGTCTACTCCGCCCATGAATTTATTGTAGAGATGAAATGCTTGTGGAAACGGAATCTCAATTTTTGAATGTGCACTCGAGCTAAATCTCTTAGACGGTAGTAGAGGAGTTACCCCTGCAGCGGTAGAAGCGATCGAAACTGGTTTCGAGTCTACGATAGTTATGTAGTTTATTCCGCTGTTTTGATCATGCTTTACAATATACGTACCTAGTGGAGACTTTTTGTCGGTTACATTTTTTTCTTTGACTCGATTTTCTCTTATAGTTCCTGTACATTGTAAACCTAACTTTTTCAAATGTACTAGGAGATCGAAATTCGTAAAAAAATTATCGCAGTAAAGATGGAACTGAGATATCTTCTTAGGAGGGATAGATTTGAGAAATGGATCCAATAATTCCATTACTACACGAGAACCTAGAGCACATTTACCCAATTTATCTCCAATTGATGAGGTTTTCCCACAATATAAATCGAGATTCAACAGGTATCCATCGGCGGTGCAGAGACCCCAAAATTTTAGTCCGAATCGTATGGGTTTTCCCCGGATAAACTGTTTTAGCGATGTTCTTGCATATGATTTGGCCATCATTTCGTCAACAGATAACGCAGTCTTCCACAAGCCAAACTGACGAATATTTCTCTGAAATAATTGTAGTAATTTACGAACGCACCATGCCTTATCACTGGGATCATTGTCTTTAGGCATCGAATACTTTAATTCTGATTTGATTTTCTCATATGTATCGCGTTGCATTGCAGAAAAAACCACCTCACATAATAAGAAGGGATCAGTTGACCAATAGTCTCTTTGAGATTTTCTTTTATTGAACGAGCTTACAATGATGATGCCAATGAAAGTATTCAAATCATCCAACTGCAATTCAAACCCATTCTCTTTACATGAGTCAATAATGTATGTTTTCATTTCCATGCAGAAAAACTTTTCAAACAGTTGTATCGGCTCACTTTTTTGAATACTTTTTTTTAAACCGTCAGTTAGTAATAATTTGTCTTCAGTCTCATTCGGGTAGCTCTTTTCACCAACCATCCACTTATATTGGTGATCTCTTTCCAATTTACAGTGATTATCTGTGTAATTTTCCGATGCTTGTTTATAAGTGATACTCGAAAGGTGATCGTTTGATTCAAAATCAGAATCGGAATCACTAGAACAACCAGAATTGTCTGGATTCGGAATCGCGACGAGCTCGTCACAATTATCGTCAGAAGTATCCATTTCAAACTCTACATGAGAAGGAATAGATTGCCTTGGTCGTTTTCGAGACATAATGGTAATATTGTCAATATGCTCACGCTGCCGATGAGATAAGAATTATCGAAGAAGTGAATTCACTCAGGAGCAATAAAGATGATAAAACAATATTTTATGAATAAATTTTGTTAAGGTACTGAGCTGAAATTTAGGTATATAAGTGAGTTCGATTTAGTCTCAAGACAAGTTCTACGAAAATAGAAACCAAATTACTCAGATAAGGAATATTGGCAGACCTAAAATGAACACAAAAATTCTGAGCTAATATTTTTTACAGAAAATAAAATATCATTAGCAATGTGAACGATCCACACTCCACAAACGTGAAAAATTAAAAAAAGATGTGATAGGCATATACAAAACTTATTTGCAGACAGAAATATTTATGGATAATAAATATATTTGTATCAGGGATAATATTCAATGATGACCCGTATAAACAAAAACAAGATGAAATGTAAAAAAATCGGAGATTTCTCAGCCTCTGCAACGTCAATTTCATTCGACACATGAAAAATATAATATATGATCATAAAATGTGAATCAATTGAATGATTATTATTTACATTTATATGAAGTTGTCAATTCTTCAATAAACGTTAGATAATAACTGGGCGTTAATGGGAAGGTGTCCGCCATATTGCATCCGCCATTTTGAATTTTGAAATGATGATGCCAGATTCGTTATCAAGGACCTCGAAAACCCCCGAGTGCCACATTTCATCCGATTCAAGTAAGTTTTTGAATATGGGTCCGCCATATTGGATCTGCCATTTTGAATTTTCGAATTTTGAGGACAGATTTGTAATTAGCGACCTCGAAAACCCCCGAGTGCCACATTTCATCCGATTCAAATAAGTTTTTGAATTTGGGTCCGCCATTTTGAATTTTTGAATTTCGAGGGCGGAATCGTAATCAGCGACCTTGAAAACCCCGGGATTCCAATTTTCGTTAAGATTTGAATATTTTTTTTGTCGGGCACCGAGAGTGAAAATTGTCTTCCTGCTGAAGGGATGAAAAGCGCCATTTTGGGGGTGAAAATGTCAATGTCGACAAATTAAAAAAATATATTCTTAAACTACAACTATTTTGTGCACTCATGGTTGAAGAAAAAGGGGGGCTCCTTGAGCGTCTTCAATGAGAAAAAAAATATTGAAAAAAAAATGTCTTCGATTTTTTCGGTTTTTTTTGTTTAAAAACGGCCATATTTTTTTTTCTAATGGACAAAACTTAATTTTGACTCCGGATTCGGAAAAAGGACACTCGAAAGTACAAGGGAACATGTTTTTTATTTGCAAATGATTTTTTTTCGATGATAAGAATCTAGCTTGAAAATGAGAAAAAAAAACACGATTCTTCGGCGTTAATGGGTCAATAGACAATTGCAGATCTCATGAATATGTTAAAGTTAGAAATATAGAGGTGGCGTTTTTTCCACCAAATTTGACTTTAATTATTCAGCCTTTAGATCAAGGCATCCTGCAAACATGAAAATTAAATTATCAATATGATTTCTCAAAATCCATTTTTAACGCACAAGAAAATAAAATCACACTAATTGATCATCTAAAAACAATAAAAATGAAGCAGGTCATTTTTTGGGTTGCTGATGCTTGGAAGGATATTAAACCTTCTACAATTTTTAAATGTTGGAAAAAACTATGGCCTATTGAGAAACGTAAAATTGCAACACAGACTGACAAACTACCAGTTGATACGTCACTTTCAGATCGATCGATTAGTACAGAGTCAATAAATAATTTACAAATCGAACATAGCTGTTTGACTAA